TTGAGATATAATACTAAATATACTTACTAAAATTGTGGTAATGTTATGTAGGTGTAAATTAAAAACAAAAAAAAAAAAAAAAAAAAAAAAAAAAAGTTATCATTAAATCATGAATTAATTGATTTTAAGAGTAAATCGCATTTATTTTCTTGAAATTACATATACTGCAGATATTCAGTGTGTATTCTTACATTATAATTTTTTTTAAAAGTACAATAATTGGTTGTTACATTATGGTGAGCGGTGTTTCGTCCTGACTAGGAAATGTAATTTGCTAAGACTGTGAATGGTCCGTCTCCAAGTGTCTTGTTTAGTCCCATCTGCCTAATCATCTGATGAGCTCTTGTCCTCGTCTGTCTTGTATGTATATGATTCGGTCATTAGGAGTGGTTGTGACTTTCCTGCTATACGTCGAAATTCGGGTCTCGAACTTAATATGCTGGCCGTTTCGTATTCTTTCACATGGGCCTACAATTGTTTACTAAGAAGAAACGTGTGAAAACACTTTAATAGTCTGATTAATTTTATATCTTATTCACCACATTCCATTGTTGACCTCCACATGATTTTGATATCAATGACTTAATAGTTTTAGTCATAGTTAAGTACCCCTATATTATAGTCACAATTGCGTGCCATCTCATACATACTTTTGTACTTTTTAGGTAGGTAACAGTAGTAATCCCAAATCTAAAATGTCGTCTTGTATTTCACATCTATATAGCTATTTGTCAGTATGCATCATTGTTTGTACTTTTAAACATGTTCTCATGGATATTTATATGGCTTTTAAACAGCATGTGTTCTCATATGGGTTTTTAAATGATCTGCACGAGAAAACGTTCGTTTACATATATCACATTTAAAGGGTTTTTCTCCTGTATGTGATCTCATATGGGTTTTTAAATTTCCAGCTTGAGAAAACATTTGATGACAAATCTCACATTTAAATCGCTTTTCACCAGTATGTGTCCTATTATGTTTACTTAAATTTGATGAATTAGAAAACCCTTTATCACATAAAACACATTTATAATAACACTTATTTGGGGAATGTGTTCTCATATGGGTTTTAAAATTTGCTTTATGAGAAAAAGCTCGTTCACATATTTTACATTTATATGGCTTTTCACCAGTATGTGTTCTTAGATGGACTATTAAATGTATCAATTGAGAATACTCTCGATCACAGGTATCACATTTAAACCGCTTTAGTCCAGCATGAACCTTTTTATGCCTTGATAAACTTGATGCCGAAGGAAACCTTTTGCTACATGTATCACATTTATATGGCTTATYTCCGGTATGTATCCTAGAATGAGTTACTAAATTTGATGAGTAAGTAAATTTTTTATCACACACATCACATTTAAATGGCTTTTCTCCTGTGTGTGTCCTGGTATGGAGTCGTAAACTGTCTAAACGAGAGAAAGTTTTCTTACATATATCACATTTATGAGGCTTTTCTCCAGTATGTATTATCATATGACCTCTTATAGCTGATTTAGTATAATATGATTTATTACAAATGTCACAAACAAATGCCTTTTCTCTTTTACTGCTATGAATCTTCTCTTTTGACGTCAATAATTTATCATTCACATTGTATGTCTGATGATTATTTTCAGTATGAATTTTCTTACGCCTTTGATATTTATTTGAATTAGATCTCATGTCCGAATTCATTTGAGTAATAAATTCAGAAGTATGGTTTTCATTAGAAACAGTTCCTTCAAACACATTACCATTGATATAATCAGTTTCTATTTTTATTTTTGTTTCAGTTTTGTTAACTTCATCTTCAAATTGACTTACAGTTCTAAAAATAAAAATAAATATTAAGTACAATTTTATTTTATTGATTTAAATATAAAATTTGAGAATTATTTTAGTTAGTTTCTAAACTAAAACAGGGTACCATGTTAAAATATCTTTTTTTTAAATACAATAAATAATTTCAGCACATTTTTCAATTCACCTTTCAAGCTTTTCAATCTTAATAAAATGTTTATAGAAATTTAAAGAAACAAGCTAAATATTTTTTCAAATTTCAAATTTCTATAGATATATTGCTCAAAATATTTTTAAAACACTACCATATACATATATAAAATATAAACATTATATGAAAAAGTCAAGTACCTATGGCTATTATTATTATTATTTTTTTTTTAAGTTACACTCTTCTTTTCTTACAATTTATCTTAAGCGGAAAGTGTTTAAAACCTTATAAATCCACCTGAATGATGTGTAAACTAATATAAACAATGAAGACTATGATAAGATGATCAAACTCATACAACTGCCTAAATGAAAAACATCCCATAATGATTCTCACTATTAAATGGGCTGTACTTGTCCCTAGGGTTGCTACTTTAACCCGTGTAGTATAGAAATATTTTATTAAGTTTTTTTTTGAAACTATATATATGATATTGAACCATGACCTTTTTTAAGTTGTATAGCTTGTACAATTATACATTTATATACTTTAAACATGCGCATGTGTGCATATTTCATAAATATATTTTTTTTATTTCAATATTCTGTAAATAATCAAATTATATAATCCGTGTTAACACTATACTTAATTATTTCATACCTGAATTCATAGTAAGACTGAGCATAATATTCCACGACGCACCTTATATATATTGTCTCCTTGAACAATCATTTTATATTAATATGTATTGTTATTTGTAACACTAAAATTTGTTTCTTAAGAATTTTGAATGTTTAATGTGTAATCGTACAAGCTATATTGTTTAAAAAGGGTCATAGTTCAAAATAATGTATATATTTTCTAAGAAACTTAAAAAAACATGAATTATCCTTAAATTACACAGATTTAGGTAGCAACCCTAGATCCCGTGGTCTCCTTATTCTAGTCTTCATTCTTACAAGTAATAATTTGATGCAAAATCAGTTTCAAATATTAAAAGATAGTTTTGTTATAAAGTTATTTTGGCCAGTCATTGGCTACCACTACAGCGCTCCATAGCAGCTAACAGCGGGTCGTCACAAGTTACAAATGTTACCAAGTAACTTCTAACTTGATAAATTTATATTTTTCTTCAATGATTGTTTATAAATGTTTCAATTTCTACTAGATATCACAATTCACATTATGATGTAGAAAGAAACATAATTTCTAAAAAAAAGTACCAACCAAAAGTTAACCTAAGTAATTAATAATTTCTGTTACTAGTGTCTAGTACCTATAGTATACACGTACTAATGTGATTCTCTAATTAGATGACTCCTATTTTTATGATAAATTTATTAGTTTGTTGGTTAGGTTAGTAAATAGTTTCATTCAATTTTATATTAAACTATAAAGCAAATACAATTCTTACCCTATTTTTGATAAATGATTATCATCATTTTGGTCTGTTTCATCTATAATTTCCTGTTTAATAACTTGATCATCACATCTGATATATGGAATTACTATAGAACTGCGAATCATATCATATTTATGGTTTATTTCATCTATAATTTCCCGTTTGATAATTTGATCATCACATCTAATTAGTGGAATTTTCAACATTCTAGAACTGTATAAATTGCAGAAAAAAAAATATTAATTATTATTCAGTATTAAATCAGATACAATGAATTAATTACATATATAATATTTAGGTTAAAATTTCATATTATTGTAATGTTCCACTACCTAATAGTGTACTTGCTTACTTGGAATTTATTACTGGATCACTAGAAGATGTTCTTAAAGGTTCCATATTGAAGTAGGTATGTCCTTATTGGTTTTCAATTCCTGTAAATATGAACCATTAAAATTATGTATATTTCAGGATAAATCGGTCATTTGGAGGGAGGGATTGCAGAAGGATTTTATCAATTAATGATTGATAGTTCAAAACAGCGAGGTATTTATTTTTTAGATTCTGAGCGGAGCGAGGAATGTATTGATTTTACCATGATGTGTTTTTATTTTTTTTGTGTCTGTCTTCTGTCATCACGTTTTGGGACAGTAAAAGTCCTTTGATTTTTGACTTCAGAAATTCGTTCGATCAAAAAGTGAATCCAGTTAGTACTTTGGGGGGTCAAAAGTAAAAAATATTTTTCAATATTTTTCTATATAATCGGGATAAACAAACTATAAATTAAGGGAAAAACAGGAAATCTTACGCACAATCAGTTTTTGACAAAATCGATTTTGGTTTTTGATGTAACTTTAAAACAAAGGACCATAGATACATGAAATTTTCACCGAATGTTTATATAAGTATATTCTATCCACCATGCAGTTATCAAAAAATTTTGATTTAAGTTTAACTATTTATAGGCATATGCATTTTTGATAATTATTAGTTTTTTTTAAATTAATATTGATAAAAATGTATTTGTTGGGTAGAAAAGCTTGAAAATAATATAAGGCTCCTAACATATTGTTACAATAGGAGTTGAAAAATGAAATAAATTCATAATCACAATTTTTTTTTTATACCTAAGCATTCAAAGTTTGAATTTTGACAAAATACGTTAAAATCACAAAAATTCGCAAATTATTTTAAGCTAGAAATTCATAAAAATGTTCTCTTTAAATCTAAGATTTCAAAATTTAATACAAGATTCCTTACAAGTTTGTCAATCTTTATCACAAAAAAAATGTCCACCAGAAATTCAAATTAAATTTTTATGAGCATTTGAAATTTAAACTTTTACAACATTGGATTTTCACTAGATTTCTCATTTAGCAATTTTTTTTATTTTGGTGTAACTCTGAAACAAATGACAGCAGATACTTGAAATTTCCACTGAATGTTTATATTATAGGCATTTTATATATTTTATAAAATTTTCAAAATATTTTGATTTGTTTTGAGCTGTTTACTGACATTTTACTTTTTTTTTCTATAAATATTGATAAAAATTGATTTGTTCCTTTTATATCTAAGATTTGAAAATTTTTAATAATCTATAATTTATCGTAGACAAATAAACCGTCTTCACTCAGAATCATTTTTCGTATACAATGATATATTATTGAATTCAAATTTAATTACATCCATAATTACAGTAACCCACTCGTAGCCTACTGTACAGCAGAGCGACATCCACGACTTACCAGCTTTAAAAAAAATGTTCTTGTCACTATAAGACGTGTCGTGTAGTTATTAACACATAAAAGTTGATTCTATAATATTGTTAATTTAGTAAAAACTAAATTAAACTTTTTAATATATACAATATTACGTATAATCGTAGTGAAGTTGTAAATCAATTAAAACAAAAATGCTTTCAAAACTTTAACCTTAAAATTAGGCAGGTAGATATTAAATTTGTATTTTATTACAATAGACTGTCGAAAAGGGATGCATTTATAGAAGTTACAAAGTACTTACTAGTTACTGATCATTCACAATGACACTGTGTTACTGTATTATGATTTAGCTGCTAGGTAACTAATTTAGAGATGTTGTAGCAATTCGGGATAGTACTTGGTGCTGAATGATGTGTCGAATTTTAGTAGCAATAGATACGAAAATAAAAACAAACCATATATAATTGTAGAAACCATTTAAATTATAAATAATTACTATTCGACATTAGTTGTTAAGACAGTAAAGTTGTAGCTCAGGCACAGAAATACAGATTATAAGAATATTGTGATTTGCGGTAGCTGCAGCAAGACGCAAGACAAAAAAGCATGGTTAATGGTTATATTATAGTAGAGCACTAAAAATTGTCACTTACCTATCAGACAATTAGTACTTGGCAACGCACGACGTCTTGGAGAGAGAAATTAGAATTCGAATTCGATCATGTCATCATGGACCACGATACAAGCTTAGCAGCCGGGTAGGTCGAGTGTCGGCCACGGAACCAACCGCGCTCAGCCTTGCCGATTGGCATTCCGAAAAACGGGCATGAAACCATAGATATTAAATATCCTTTAATATTTATGCATGAATAATATGCTTATAACATAAATTTCAAATTTTCACCGAAAAGATAATACTGATAGTAGTACCACTAGTACCGATAAAATGTTACTGTCTGGTTTTTCCTTCGTGCATAGTGCATAAAATATGATAACATTGATGACTAACGATAATGTTATCATTGAATGTCAGAATTAACTATTACTTATTAGACACATAATATGTTTGTTCTTTGATAATATAATATTAATTATTATGCCTTAAGAATTACTCTCCTGTATTATTTTCCTCGTTGATGAACTGATATTTTGTATTTTTGTTGCTACTCAATCGATTTCTTTAAATTATCTTCATTTTAATACGTTATTTTAAATAATGATGTGCATAAATTACTCAATCATATTATTTAGTCACATTTAGTTTTTTTTTAAATAATTGCATATAAGTAATCATAGGTACTTATTACATTACGTTATTATGATAATTTGTGTTACACATTTTTTTTTTTTAATTAGATAAATATGGACGAAGACTGTTCCGTGCTCCAAGAAGAAGAAAGAGAAGCCTTGCTTTCTATTTATGATGGCGATGAAGCTTTTAAGCAAGTTTCTCCTACTGTTTATCAATACAAGGTAAGAAAATATTGAACAAGCAAGTTTTCTTTTTTAAAAATGAAAATKTTTTTGACAATGTAATCCAATTTCATTTAAACTAAAAATTTGGAATTCTGGATCTAATTTGTTATTAAATATTTCATAATTTGTGCAAGTTCAATATTTTTGTAACTTTTTTCAAATGATTTTTGTCATAACTATTCAAAAACAAACATAGAACTTTAAAATATATTTGAATCTATACATATTCACTTTGCTTGTTAATATTTGTWCTGAATAGTACACGTCATTATTAGTTTATTATTATTTTATTTATAATATACCTACTTTACTATTTTTTTCTTTTACAGTATGGAGAAGATAACGATAATAAATCTTTTCTATTGGAGGTTGAATGGCACAACAATTATCCAAGTGAAGCACCTAAAATAAATTTAGACATGTTCTACAATAAACACATGTATGGATAAATTTGATTATGAAATAAACTTGTGTAATATAACGTGTAAGGTTTGGATGATGTAACAAGTTAAGTTTAGATATACAGCATTGATGCCCAATCTTTTTTGTTCAGCTCGCCACTTTGGTAAGCAATAATCTTGCAACGGGCCACCAAATATATGTATTTTTTTTTTTATTATTATTATCATTACAATTATAAAATAAATAAATATAACTTTACTTTTTTTTAAATATATTGTTCGATTTAAAAATTTGTGATGCGGGTTGGGCACCACTGGTATAGTGTCAAATCATTCATAAAAAGTATTCTGAAATTATTTTATTTTCACATTAAAGTAAATGTATTAATCAATTAATTATTTGTTTAAAACTGTTGGTTAATATTTTATAGTTTTATTGAGGGATAAACTTAAATATCAATGGTTATTTTATTAAAACATAAGCAATTTTCAACTTCAGATTATCAGAATCAAGACTAACTTATAGTTACTTCACTCTTAAACATACTGAATATTACTTCTTAGAAGAATTTAATTTAATTTATAAAAATATTAATATTAAATAAACATTTTAGAGTAAGTTCAGTCAAAGAAAATATTAAAGATAAAATTTCAAAAGAGGCTGACCACTATTTGGGAGAGTCTATGACATTCACTCTTTTTGAATTTCTTAAAGATTTTGCTGAGGAACTCGTTGCTGATCAACCAGAAAAAGAAGTTACTGAAAGTATAACTAAACTTGTATGTATTTTAGTATATTATTTTTAACATTAATAAAATACATTATAATAAATGTTACAATATATAATTTGTACTTTTTAGTCTATAGATGATGAYGATTCTGCAAAAAAGACAACAAAGAAAGAAGTTATGAGCAAATCTCAAAAGAGAAAACAATGGGATCGTTTAGATTCCAAAGGAGAAAAACCACGAGGATATGATTGGATAGATGTTGTCAAACATTTATCACAAACGGGATCATCCAAGGTAGAAATATCTACGTAATTAAGTTAAATAACACTGTGATATGAATTATGAATTTTTATGTTTTTGTGAAAAAATATTTTCATTTACAATATTAACACTGATTAATATTTTTATCCGAATGTCTATAATTAATCCATTAAATCCTATCACCAAGAAGCCCTCCATTCATCAACTACTAGGTGATGACTTGTACAGCTCCAATCTAAAACAATATTAAAATGTTAGTAGTGAGTCATTGATAAAATAATAATACATAAATACCTGACATTTTAGCATGTAGGAGAAACTTATCAAAGTTTTTATTAACAAATTCGCATGACAGTTTAACATACTCTGAATGTGTGCAACAAAATTGAGTGTTGTTCAATGTATATTTCATCTATAATTTTTTTTTTAAATATATTAAGTATTATGCTACTATTCACTAATGGAACTATTCTATTTAATACTTACAGAACGAAGAGAATTGAGTTTTATCATTGAAAATTTATTCTTGGGACAAATTAAATGACCTAATATGTTAGCATGAAAATATGCTTTTAAAATATTTTCAGTATTAATATTTTTATCTAAGACTACGCGTATGATGTCTTTATGCGTATCCACAATTAATATATAAAGATAATCTTTATACAATTCAATGTGATCTATTATATCCCACGTCGTTAATGTGTTTGTATACAACAAATCATGGACAGATGTTCCCAATTGTATTTTAAAAGAAGACAGCTTTTCATCTAAAAAAAATTAGTTAAAATTTTTTAATCTAACCATAAATTGTTAAGTTTTTGTTATTAAAGAAAATTCTACATATTAATATCAATGATTAAATTTAAATTAATATCTGTAAACAAGTGTCTTCAACCTGCCTTGTCTTTAATTGTGGTCTATGAACACATTTTAAGCACAACACATATTTTTTATTATATTATTTAATATAATAGGCTGTTACGCTTAAAAGATTGAAGAACCCTGATATAAATTTAAACTAAAAAAAAAAGTTTTACCATAAATCTGTTAAGCTGTAATAGGTGCTTTAATTTTATACGAACATATAACAATTAAAAATTATATAAGTAAGATTAATAGCAAATACAATTTACCTTCTAAAAAACAAGCTTCTCGTTTATTGATATAATCAGGTTTTTGTACATCATGGTTTTGCGAATCATTAGACAAATAATATTTAAGAGTCAAATCATAACGGGCACTGTTGAAAACATTGATGTTTAAACTTTTGACTGCTTTGTAATTGGCAAACAAATGCAAAGAAGTTACTACTAAGTATATTATCCATATCAATCTAAAAAAGTTGTAATTAACATTTATCATTAAGATTTTATAAAAAAAATAAAACTAAAAGGATATTGTATCTGTAATGACAAAAAATAATAAATGTTTGAGTGTGAAGACCTTCATACTTACAAAATACGGTTTTCAACAATAGGTAACATAATTAATCCGATGAGAAATGCAATTAGATTAATACAAGTTTCTTGACTACCGTCTTTTGCTGAAACATCTCCCATATTTTCACGAATAGCCTGTTTAAAGTAAAAATGTATTGTATAAACATAATATATTATTTTAATAAATAAATACCTGGTGCTGAGTTAATGCTGCACGTGTGGCTCCTCCAGCAACACCTACAATGGACTTAGCACAGCTTGAAAATGATAGGATTATTAATGAAAATTGTCTAATCCATGGTATACTTAAAAGTAATTCAATGAAAATTGCAAAATCGTTAAGTGCATCGGCTCGAAGTCTCCATTTTTTACATTGTGTATCTAATTCAGATCTGAAATCAACAAATTTTACTAATCAATGTTTTTGCAAACATAACTAATACAAGTGCTTAAATATACTATTTAAATAAAAACAATTAAATTAATAACTAGTGAATATCTATATTAATAAGTTAAAAAATAAAATAAAACTATTGGCATCGGTGCATCAATTCTACATTTTAATAAATATGGAAGTTTACCCTTTCCACCACGCAAAACTAATGCGCCCGACCATGCCAGCTCCATCTTTGAGTATATAAGTAATGGATGCAGCAAGAGCTGTAGCTTGAGCATCGCCTACACCGACACCTTTCAGAATAGCATTTGTGGCTAATATGTTTGAAATTGTACTACAAAACGCCTAAAACCGAATTTAGGTACAGTTAATCTACTGAAGTAATAATTTGTACACCAATCAAAACTAAATTTCCATTAAATTATATATAGGTCAATAGTTGATTTTTTTTTTAATACTTTAATAGATAAATACTTCAAATGTTTAACATAAATATAATAGTATTAATCGATACCTAAAATGCATTATTTTAGGAATACTAATATGTCACCTGTATGGTATCCCACATTTGATATTCCGTATAGTCTTTGCTCACACTATTTGGAAATCCTCTGGGCAAAAATACTTCTTTTAGTATATTAACCGAATTACGAATGAAGCCAGTAGACTGTTTCCGTCTTTCAGATTCCAATATCAATTGTCGTTGGTCTAAAAAAATAAAACCAGTGATGAGAGTGCAGTTATTAACTGAACTATAATACGGGAATAAGGCGCTATATCATATTTTCTAAATCTTCTAAAATATAATTGTACCACGTACTRTTATGGGCATATTGGTTTTTAGCAATGAAAAAATTATACGAATCTTAAGTTATTAAATACCTACCTACAATTTTACATTTTATATCAAAATTTGAGGGCGATATTTCATTCTCTACTGCGCTGAATCAGATTTTGGGGGGGGGGACTAAAGTTATTAGAGCTTGTCATAACCAAAGCGGTAAGTAAATCGTTTTCAAATACCGTGTCTTTTGTATATGACATTGCACTCTTCCGGTCCGTATTCTTCGCTCAGAAGTATTTCGTCGTGATTTTTCGACATCCTCTTTGTAGGTCGGCGCCCGTTGACGGTTGACAATCAGTGAGAAAGATATGAAACGGTGTTCAAAGAAGTGCGTTCGGAAGCCAAAATAAGGCGGCCATAAATCGTGAACATAGTGGGGTCAGCGGGTGCTGATTTTTTTCGCAAGCACTGCGCGACTTAGCGACAACTCGAAAGCTTCAGAAAAAAGTCGTATTCCGATATCCGATAAMGATTGGCGGCGTTTGGTGAATTGTTCCATGACACGAACGTCGATTCAGTGACGGTTCGACAGTCCGCACGAACTTCGGTCACGGAATAAATAAATAATGATAATAATAATATTATGTTTGACGGCCGAGTCAACCACGACAGCCGCTGATATAGTGTTATCACGATTCGCGACATGACGACAACTTACTTACTTACTACAGAGACAGACGTCCTTTGATCATGATATAATTATTATTTATTATGATCCAAGAAACAAACAAACCGTACAAAACTGAAAACACAAGCCATTAAAATTATTTCAACGACGTAGGCAAAAAACACATCATTATTATTTCCACAAAATCTTCACACAGTCTTCGCTGTCTCTTGTTCGGTTATTGGAAGCCGGTACCCGATCCTACGACGGACCATTTTGTAAACAGTAGTAATGTAAAAAAGAGGCGAACTTGCGATATATACCTATTATATATATATATATATATGTGTGTGTTTACCTCTTTTGTGTATATCGCGTATACACATGCAAATTCATATAATATGCAAATCATAATAGTTTGATTATTTGTACATTAAATTAACTTACCCCACTTCGACTCAAGTCTTTTTTAGTGTTTGATGGACGAAGGAAGGAGAAGTAGGTTCAACACTAATATTAATAATTTATAATTCAATATTAATTGACAACA